AATATTATTAAAAAAAAATTTATTTAAATATTTTAAATTTTAAAAAAAGTAAATCATAAACAAATTTATAGCAATTTACCAGGCAAATTTGTCTGGAATTGTTTACAGATTAAGGGATAAATATTTCACTAATCTACTTTTTTAATTATTTAAAATATTAAATAAAATTTAATATATTAATATTTAAAAATAAGAATTATATTTTTGCAATATTTGCATTTATATTATAAAACAAAAATTTTAGTTTGTTTATAAGCTAAAAATAGACAATTTTAAAAAAATTTATTAATTAAAAACTTAGTTTATAATTTTTTGGTAAACTCTTTAAACATTAATTTTAAAAATAGTTTTTAATACAATATTGTAGTTTATACAAAGGATAAAAACTTTCATTATTATACTTTTAGTAATTTACTAATAAAAATTAAACCTTGTTTTAAAAGCAAAATAATTTTTATAGGTATAAAAATATATAAAATTTAAAAAAAATCTAAAGAAGAAATTATATAGTAAAAATTTTAATACTAAAACTTTAAACTTTTATTATGCTAAAGTTTTTTAATAATTTTAAAAAATTCTTTAGAAAGTTAATTACTTATTATTATTAATTAAAATATACAATAAAGAAATCGAACTTTTAATCAGTGTTTTAATTGGTTGTTTATTTGTAATTTGATTGAACAGTGCATGTATGACTGTTAGTTATGCGGATGATGAAATAGTAAAATTTATGTAATATCAGGAATAATCTATTTAGGCGCTTGAATTACTTGGCTACATTGAGTAAATCGATTTCTAGGCTTTGAGCTGTAGAAGATAATGTTATGAGAGAATATCAAGTATATTAGATGAGAATAATAATAATAATAATAATAATAATAATAATAATAATATAATTATAATAATAATCATCATGGTGAACTTATAAAATTTAGCTAAAATTTGGTAACTAGATCTGAGTATTTTGTCCTCCAAAGTAGATTTTAGATACCAATTTACATATTAATAAATCAATGCCAAACTCTAAAAAATTTTTAGTACCTCTGATATAGACTGATAACACATCAGTTCCCACAAGCTAATCTGTCTTCTCTGCTCTTATTAGACTCATAAATTTTATAACAATGCACTTTAACCTGAGAAAATTTTCTTTTCTTGGCCAAAATCTATATTTATATCTTAATAGTCAAATTTTTCAAATTTTGGGTATTTCATAAATTTGCTGCAATGTAGTATAATGAAATATATTTTTATAAGTGTAATATATAAGCGCTATATAGTATCAAGTTAAGTTAGTCAGTTATTTATAGTTATTACTACTTAAATTGTTAAGACTATTGGACAAATAGATATGTGAGAGAAATTGTCATGGTTTAGTTTATTTATGTCATAAGCATCTGTGTTATATATTCTCTAATCTAAATATAAAAAATAATTACATTTCGTAATTAGTAAGCTGATTGACTTATAATGTAAATTGACAAATTAGCTTTTAAAATCATCAGTAATTATTAAAAAATAATTACATCAAGTAAGTTAAAAATGTTGTAATTATGAATTGAAAATTCATAAGTAAAAATAAACAAATAATTTAAAATGTAATTATTATTTAATAACAGATTAATATATATAAAGTAATTATGATAATATCATAGTTTATTAGAGTATGTGGTAAAGTAAGATGTATAAATATAAGAGTAGAAAACAAACCATAGAATAAGCTATAAAATAAACTGAACAAATTTTTTTGTTTTCTTTTTTGCATTGTATTTTTATTATTGATAATGATGATGATGATCATATTATCATAATCATAATTATAAAAAAAAAAAACCTATAGGCAGACCTGCATGTAATTGACAATTTTCTAAGCACAAAAACTTTATCAACAATAAACACATGCATAACCTGGCACTAAGTGACAGTAAAATTCCTACAGCTATGTATAACAATCACCAAAACTGGTGAAAAACATTATCAAATTTGTGTAATAACTGTTGTATAAATATTTACAATCCTATGTGAAAATGTTTATGTCCTGAATATGGTTCGCAGCTTCTTTCATCAAAACAAAAAATTTTTGCTATAATAACATATTACGATATACTATTCTACCTTTTCACCCTTGCCACTTACCTTACAAAATCTTTATATTTCGTGCTCTAATAATTTTTATTATAACAGTCATCAATACAATTCATTATTTTCTTTTACAGTTCTTGGTTATACATATGGTGTAGTTTGCTTACCATATCAACATGCTTTTGTGATTAATAGTCATGCTTATCATCAAGTTTATCCTGCTAATGCCAAAGTGTATCTGACAAATTGGTTTGTTTATGATGCTAAAGTATGAAAATGTGTTGCAAATTAACGTAAGCTTGTCAAGAACTAGTAAAACAAATTGAGCAAGAATTGGCTACTGTAAATCCATTTGTTAGAGGTTTATATTAACTATATGATGTAGATTATCCTCAGGCATGTTTGATAATTCAACAACCAACAAATAATGCTGAAGTTGCTGTTTGCACAATTAACTATTCAACAAATATAATACAGGAATGGAGTGTACAAATTTGGCATGTTGGCCAAAGATTATTACATCATTATATGTATTAATCAAATCAAAGGTTTACCACTACCAAATCAAAACTCATTGTATTAGCTAAATAATTTTTCAATTTTTTTATTATATATCCCAAAATTTATAAAAAAAAAAAACCATATAAAATACAAAAATTTATTAAAAATTTCCAAAATTTGACCAGACAAGTTATGAACGCAAATTAATTAATTTTGTATAGACTTAGATTCATCTCTATGTGGTTTAACAGTCATCAAAGGCAATGATGAAATAAGCATTAATACAGAAAAAACTACTACAATTTGAAATGTGGCATCTAAAGCTATTAAAAAATTGTGAATTATAATTTGAGAAGGTTTGCCTGACATAAATATGCCAAAGTTTTGTAGAGACCCTTGAAATTGTTGTGGTAAATTTGAATTAAATACATTATTAAAGACTGTGCCTAAGATAGCTATACCAAAAACTGCGCCCACTTACGAAAAAAAAAGTATGTAGTATTAGTTATCAAAAATTTTTAATAAACTAATTAAAAATATATATAACATACTAGTTCTGAAAAACGCCAATAATGAAGTAACTGTAGCAATATCCTTAGGCTCTGCAATTCCTTGTCCAGCTAATACAGTAATTTGTAAAATTAAACCAGCACCTATACCAGTTATTAATGAATAACCAACTATTTGAATTTGACTTGAATCTTCTGTAAATGTACTAATCAATCCAGATCCTATTGCCATTAAAATACTTCCCAAAACACAAATTGCACCATATGTAAAGAAGACTGTTCTTGAAACTAGTTGGCCTGAAAAGATAGACATAATGACTACACCTGCAACGAGGGGAAGAAGTTCCAAACCTGAGGTAATAGCTATAGAATAGTAAAAGTATTTATAATCAATATTATATTAATGGTATCAGATATATAAAGGAAGTATTGTTTATTTACCAGATTCAGACTTGACAACTTGAAAATAAAGTGGTATAAAGAACGCTAAAGACAAAATAGCCATTCCATGAAAGAGATTTACACCAAAACATGCAACTATCTTAATGTTTTTGAATAAATAAACTAATGAAACATAGAATAATAGCAAACTATTAATAATTTAACCCAAAAAAAAAAAGATTACTGACAAGACAAATAAAAATTTACGAGGAGCAATTGGTTCTTTGGCGAAATTGGCTTCTATAAAAACAAATATGATATATCCAATACTGCCTAAACATAATAAAACTATAATGAGAGGATCACTCCATGCTGAAATTTAACAAAATATAAAGATTAATAATGAACTAATATAAAGAGAATATTTTGAAAAATATACTGACCATATTTTGAACCAGCCCAATTAAGCGATAATAACAAAAGAATAGTAGCAACAACCAGAGTAAAAGCACCCAACCAATCAATGCGCTTGAGTTTTGTCAATAAAGAGCTGGTAGGACTTGGAAGGTGCAATAAAAATACAACAAGGATAAAGGTGATGACACCTAGAGGAATATTAATAAAAAATGCCCACCTACAAGTATGTTAAATGTATATTTGATTGAATAGAAATTGAAAAATTATAAATACAAACCTCCATGTAACCTTGTCAGTAAAAACACCGCCCAACAGTGGACCCACAACAGACGCGATACCAAAACAACCACCAATAATTCCTTGATATTTTCCACGCTCTTTGATAGGAACTATTTCAGAAATAATAATATATACAAGTCTAGAGAATTGAAAAAATTATATTATATAATATTTAATATTAAATTTTCAAAAAAGAAAAAGAAAAAAAGAAAACTTACCCTATAAGACCTCCTCCACTAGTTATCAAATATTTATATATTAATTTCAAAAAATACTGATTTTAATAATTTTATGAATTAAATTGGAAATCAAGCAACTTACCCTAGACCTGCAATTGCACGTGATATGATTAACATGGTCTATAAAAATATTAGCTTAAA